CACCCTGGGTCCCCCCTCCCCGGCACCGCAGCTTTTGTCTGCAGCTAAATTTAGCTGCCGCCACCGCCTCCCCCGCGATCGTTGCCGCAGCTGCGGGGCCGGGGCGAGCACCAACCCGGCACGCTGCTCCCGCTCTGCTTCTTCCAACTTTCCTGCCTGCTTTGCCCTCCCCAGCGCCCATCGCACCCAGGGGTGGTGGGTGCGGAGCCGGGGAGGCCTCGGCCCTGGTGTATGAGCAGCACAGGGTCCCCAGCCCCCTGCCCGGGATGCAGTGTCCCCTGCACGTGCAGATTTGGGAATTTTGGGTGCGTGCAGCGTGCCCATGTGCTGCATGGTGCAGTGAGCACGTTGGGAGGGAGCGCAGGGTGAACAGAGCGTGGCGTGGGTGGACGTGTGTGCCAGCTGCACGCCCACCCGCAGCCCTCCCCAAACGCTGCGCCTCCTGGAGCAGGGGGGCTGCCTGTGCAGGGGAGAGTTGCAGGGCTGTAGGCATGTGTGGGCATGCAGGACAGCTCCATGCACAGGGGCTGCGGATGCGCTTGGAGGAGTGTGCTGCAAGTGCAATTGTGCACGGAGAGCAAGAGTGTGCAAAAAACCCGGGGGTGTGCACCCAGGTGCACGGGGCACGTAGTGGTGCGGGGACATGCAAGGGAACATGGAGAGGGTTTGCAGCATAAGGTTTGCAGCATGCACAAGTGTGCAGGCGTGCTGCATGCGGTGCATGAACTGCCGTGTTCCTGTGCACAGGGTTAGCGAGCAGGGGTAAACGCACAGTTCCCTGCACGTATGTGCAAGGCAGGCACATGCGTGTGTGTGGGAGGGTGCATGCACAGCCTCCACAGGTGGACACGTGCAAAGTGTGCGTGTACAAGGGCCTTGCATGCGTGTGCACTGCGGTGCAGCATGCACAGGGGTGCAGGCACAGGTCTGTGTGAGGGTGTGTGCGCTGCAGCTCAGCGTGCACAGGGGTGTGTGCATTTTGCAAGGCTGTGTGCTGTTTGTAGGAGGGAGTTGGTGCAGAGCGAGGTGGGCAAGCCCTTCATGCACTGGAAGTGCAGCAGAAAGCAGGGGGTGCAGAAAGGAAGAGGGGCCTGGTGCAGGGTGGACTCCATGGTGCAAACAGCACGTTGCACAGGATTGCATTGCAGAGGGAGATGAGAGGCGTGCATTACAGGGGGTCATTGTGCAGGATTGCAGGGTGTGTGTTGTGCAGGGGGTGCATTGCAGGCAGGTGTGGGGTGCATTGCAGCGGATGCATGCACGGGAGGTGCAGGAGGTACACCGCAGTGGGTGCACTGCAGGAGGTGCATTGCACAGCGAGGTGCGTGGGGGTGCATTGCAGGAGGTGCATAATGCAGTGCGTTGCAGGGGGTGCATTGCACGGGAGGATGTATCGCAGGAGGTGCATTCTGCAGCGGGTTGCCGGGGGTGCATTGCTCAGGAGGGCGCATTGCAGGGGGTGCAATGCCCGGGTGGTGCAAGGGTGCAGTGCAGTGGGTGCACGGAGTTGCATTGCAGGGGGTGCAATGCCCGGGCGGTGCAGTGGGTGCACGGAGCGGGG